AATGCTTTGCTACTTAGAAATTTCTTCTGCCAGATACTTTAAATCATCTCTCTCAAGCTGAAAGTTCCACAAATCTTTAGGGTAGGGGCAAAATGTCACCAGTCTCTTTCCTAAAACATAACAAGAGTCACCTTTGCTTCAGTTCCCAGCAAGTTTCTCATCTCCTTCTGAGAACATTTCAGCCTGGACCTTATTGTTCATATCTCTATCAGCATTTTGATCAAAGCCGTTCAACAAGTCTCTAAGGAGTTCCAAACTTTCCCCCATCATCTTATCTTATTCTGAGCCCTCCAAACTGTTCCAACCTCTGTCTGTTACCCAGTTCCAAAGTTGCTTCCACATTTTTGGGTATCTTTTCAGCAACACCCCATTCTACTGATACCAATTTACTATATTAGTTCATTTTCACACTGCTGATAAAGACATACCTAAAACTGGGAACAAAAAGAGGTTTAATTGAGCTTACAGTTCCACATGGCTAGGGAGGCCTCAGAATCATGGTGGGAAGTGAAAGACACTTCTTAAATGGCAGTGGCAAGAGAAAAATCAGGAGGAAGCAAAAGCAGAAACCCCTGATAAACTCATGAGATCTCGTGATATTTATTCACTATTATGACAACAGCACTTGAAAGATCAGCTCCCATGATTCAATTACCTCTCCCTGGGTCACTTCCACAACACATGGGAATTCTGGGAGATACAATTCAAGTGGAGATTTGGGTGGGGACACATCCAAACCAAATCACATGCATTGTTCCTTTTTCCTGGAATTCCTTTCTTCATTTATTTATGAGTATGGAGATGAATTTTACTAATCAATTAGCAAACCAAGTGAAATAAATAATGAGATTGAATAAATCTCACCCTGGCATTTGATCTCATGTTTTCATCTAGTAAGTTGTTAGATAATATTAACTGGGGGCTGTGAAACAGAGAATTTTAAAAGAAAGAGTCCTAAAACATGAGCAACAAGTTACAACTGGCTTCTGTAACACCTAAGCCATTCCAGTTAAAATTCGTGACCTACTTTGTCTTACATTCCGTTGCCATAGTGCCTGGATTAAATGTGTAACGAAAGAAAATTGATTTCCACTGTAAATCTTAATTTTTATTGTGCCCTGTAGTGCTGCATGAATGATGCATGTGTGATAAGTCTCACATTTAGAAGATTCTGGGGGGAGTTTTGAGATTTAAAGTATTATGGCCTCTGTCAGTGGTTATTAAAATAATATATTTTCTGTAGATGTGTATCATTTTCTTAAATAAATAAGTGACTTTATGAATATCCTTAGGCATAAAGGGAACAGGTTTTTCTGACTGCTTCAGAAGCAACCTGCAATTTACATTGGTCATATCAGTGTTTCCTAAAAAGGAAAACAATGTCTACCTTGGAAAGAATAAGCTTCAAGCTCAAAGACAAATGCTTGTTCCCCAAGTGTTTCAATGCTTCATTGAGTTTAAAAATCAATTCCATGCAAAGTATACATTTAGAATTCTTGAAACCTTATCTTTATTTAAAAAAAAAAATCCCAGCTGGCAAATGTCTCCTGTCAACAGTAGCCTATGTGTTGGGGAAATGAGTGGATGGGGGAAGAGGCCTAGCCAACAATAAGGACCAACTTCCAGCATGCTCTGCAAAAGACCAGTTTCTTCTGAAATGGTAAGATTTTCTCTTTTTTATATTATTTGCATTTAAGTCTGTCTCCTTAAACCTGGGAGTTTATGGGGCAGATTAAACCTCAAATCAGTTGTGTTTGGGTTACACAATATTTGCTGTTGATTGTGGTTTTCTTTCTGTTTAATCTCTCTATTTCAGTTTGAGTGCTTTTGGAAAGATGAGCTTTCCAGTTGTATTGACCCCCATCACTATCTCATGTCCTATGCCTGGCACAATTCACTCACTTAAGTTATTTACTTGAATCTTATAGAGATTTTGATCTTGTTATCTTTGCCTTAAACGTTTTGGGGTGGAGTGATATATAAATTAACAAATTATGTTGAGCACAGTTATTCTTCTAGATGTTCATTTATATGTAGAAGTTGTTTATATTATTTAATAGATTCCAGATCTGTTTTGTTTTCATTTTTTGAATATTTTAGCTTTATTGAAGGTAATGGGGATTTCTTTCAGGTCTACAGAGAGAAATAAGGAAGCCCTAAGGCCCTTTGAGCATCTAATTTTCCCTTTCCTAATTTATGGCTGCTGGTGAGTTGTGACTTGTGCTTTTTACCTCTTCTCAGTTATATATACCTGTTCTGTATATGTCTATTAATTGTTTTGTTTGTTTTTCCTGAGGTTTCATTTTCAAACTCACTGTAACAGAGAATCAGGTATGGAGAGCCAAGGCCTGCCCACGAAGGCTTGACTATGATCCTGTCTGTCCAAAAATGCACTAGGGAGAGCTGCGATATCATGGGACTGTGCTTGATAATCAGTGCATAAGAAACTGCTTTTGGCTGCTTGCTCAAAATAGGGTTGTGATCAGGCATGCAGAATCAGAGATTCCACTGTACGGAGGAGACCAGAATTCATTTGTGGTTAAGAGCATACATCCTGGAATCATATTGCTTGGGTTCATAACTTGACTCCACCATTTACTGGCTGTGGAATCTAAATGAGTCATTTCACTAATCTGAGTCTCAGTTTCTTCATCTGACAAATCGGGACAACAAAAACATATACCTCCTAGGGTTGCTGTAGGGATAAATCAGACAATATATGTGAAAGACCTAGCATAGGGGTGGACATATAACAAGGACTCAATTCATGTTGGTTATTATAACCAAAATAATCATGATTATTATTTGGATAACTTTCACAGGTTTTGCACAGTACTTTTCATGTAGTAACTTCTCAAAAAATATTTGCTGAATGAGTACATGAACTAATGAATTAGTCAATATCAGTGCCTGATATTGTAGTTTGGCTGAGTAAATCATTTCTCAGGTGATACTTTAAAACATTATACCTAAGGACTAATATAAAGTGTTCCATTTCTATTAAAATTATTCCCATCATAAGATTTGCATTTCAATTAAGTTTTAAAACAGAGGAGCTTTTTTTTTTTTTTTCCCTCCCCACAGTAGCCCTGGATGATCCATTTGTTACTCTTTATAAGATCCCGATGAAAAGCTAGCAATGGCTTTCCATATTGGCTAGGCAACTTGGAGTGTCTGGCACAGAAAAATATATTAATTTTTAGCATGGTGGATTTTCTTTCACAAAGTAATTAGCAATGGATGAGAGTAATCTCTTATCCATATACCTGACAGCAATAAAAATTATTGCTTGAGTTTTTCCTCTAATCTGAAAAGAATAAAGTGATATAATAGAAATGTTAAGCCTAAAATTCATAGATTAGACTTAGACTGGTATGGAATGAAGTCCATCTGGCTCTTTCAAAGTGAAACTATGTGGAAATGGGCAAAATATATTGAGATCTTTGCTTGGGTAGAATTTATTACCTACCGTTCCTTCTGTGTTTCAGCACAATATGTACCCTGCTTGTCCAGTGTGCCATGGCTATACATACCACATACAAGTGACCTGTAGGTCTTGCTGCTTGCTGTTCAAAGGGAACTAGGTAGTTCTGGTACAAGAAAACACTGCTTCAGTACTCCAAGTGTGCTACCTTTATAAATGTAATTGTTGGCATTACCAAAAACATTCTGTCATAAGTATCATTCCCTATCTTTTTTACCCCTATGAAAATAATTTAAAATTCCTATTTTAGTTTAACTTCCATTTACAGTTATCTTTAGCTTTACAAAATATATTATTTTTTCTGCTACCTCTTTTTAGTTATATCAATTATAACATTTTTATCTATCCACTTAACATTTCAAACTTTTATCTTTCCTGTTTTCATTGTTAAAATATTTTTCTCAGGCATAATTCTTTTTATTCTCATCATTATTGTTTCTTCTTTTCTTCTTTTAAAAGAAAAATGATTTTTGTCTCTTTGGATCTTTTAGTTTTCTGATTTTTATCTTTTAACTTCTTTTTATATCCTTGGTTTGTTTATAAATAGACAGAAGAAAATCTAGTTATAGAGACAGATCCAAAAAGTTTTATTTATGAATTGGTCACAGATGGAGAAGGAAAAAAAAAATTAGTGTTGAAATCCAGCATTTTAACCAGAGCAAATAGGTGAAAACGAATGCAATTTACTGAGATAAGAAAAAATATGGGATGAGTATGCTGTAAAAGAAAATAAGAATTTCTTTTTCTATCACTATCAGGAAATAAAATAAAGAATACTTTTAATGTAAAAAAGACATAAACCCAGATATTTTTAAATGAATTCATTTGATTTTCTGAAAAATTCACCAGATGGTCATTTTTCTTTTTCATTTTGTGGTGAATTAGTGAAAACTTCTGGCATTAGGAAATACTTGCAGTAGATAATGGAAGGATTTATATTTCAGGAAAACTTCCTCTGGTAACTGTATAAAGAATAGATTGGAAAAGATTGAAGACAAAGCTCAATTAGAACTAGTAATAGGAAGCTGTGGAGGTCGATTACAATTTGGATACTGCCAGGAAGAAAAATACCTATGAAACTGTTGATAAAGAGGCTGGAGGTTGAGGAAATTGTGTCTAATGCACTGGAGTGTTCTCGGTAATGAAAAGCAGCATTTGCTGAGAGTGGTGTGGTTGAAATTTTTTTTTTTTTGAAGAAAAAGTGAAAATTTGTTGAGTTAAAAATGTCATCTAGCTGTTTTAGTAGGCATACTTAATCTTTCTGAGCTTTGGAGAAGGAGTCCTGCCTAGCCAACCTGTTCTTAGTATTATGTTTTATTTAGCATGACTTTGGAAGCCACATAACTCTATAGGTTTAGTTGAAAGAAAATAAAATAGTAACTTGTAAATGTAGCAGACATGTATTAAATACTGCCTTCATCAATGAGATTGAGTTTCTTAAAAGCAAGTGTACCATTTTTTTCTTCCTACAGAGGTGGCCTATTGTTTAGTGAAAAGAACCCACACCTTGGAGACCTACACCACAGGTCTACCACCCTCAGGCTCTTCATCTGCAATGGCGGTAATGATGTGCATGTCATAAGATTGTTGAAGGTATTTAATGAAATAAGTATGTGTAAAGGAGAAGGGATTTTACATGAGTTAGCTATACCTTTCTCTTCTTTCTCCTATAATGCATCCAGTTCTGGGTATGTACAGGGGGCACTAATGGAATGGGGCCAGAAGTCCTTTTAATTTTGGAATGCTGAAAAACTCAGAACTCATGAGTCTGTCAGCGGCTGTGAAGTTTACTATTAATAAAGTTTTGTTAATTTTTTTTTTTTTTAAAGCACCCGCTAAACTACAAATCCCTTCTCTCTCCTCCAGGAGGACGGGTCACGTGGCTTTCCAGGAAACCGGAAGTCCGGCCCGCTCGCCCAATCACGCCCGGAAGCCATCTAGCGGCGCCAGGCTGGCCAATCCTGGGGAAGCTTGCTCTCCGACGAGCCGGGTCCCGCTTCCGCACGCCGCGCTTACGGGTCGTTAGCGGATACGACGGCCGCAGGGGCGGAACCAGGGCCCTTTGCCTGGCTTGGCGGCAGGCTCTACCTTTCCTGTTGTCTCCCGCTCCGCCATGGCTCCTAAAGGCAGTTCCAAACAGCAGTCGGAGGAGGACCTGCTCCTGCAGGATTTCAGCCGCAACCTCTCGGCCAAGTCCTCCGCGCTGTTCTTCGGGAACGCGTTCATCGTGTCTGCCATCCCCATCTGTGAGTGCTGGGAGCTAGGCTGGCGAGGGAGGCCGCGGGCGGGTCGGACAGGGCCGGACGTGGCAGGACCGGGCGAGCAGACAAGGCGCGGGTGCCGACCGGCGGTCGACGATCTCTCCAGCTCCCCTGAGTTCAGGGAGGCACAAAGCCTCTTTGGGCCTCAGTGCTGTCGCCTGGGATTGTCCTGTGCAGCACTCGGGGAAGTCACTTGTTACAAGCACGTTCCGGAGCTCCACCCCCGGAGATGGTGGTTAACTAGTTCTGGGGTGGCAGCCCCAAGTCTGTATTTAAACGCACACACTCAAGTATACTGCCTGCTGCCCTTTTCCATACAACTGTTGCTTGCCTTTACGAAATTTTCAATTAATATTCTTATTTTGGATAAATTAATGAATTAGGTGGGAGACCCCTGAAGCAACCCACTGAATTAGAAGTGTCTTTATGTGAGCTACTTCACACCACTGCATAATTTCCCTGGTTTGCAAAAAGAGAGAGGTTGAAGTGCCAGGGGTTAACGATCTACCTTGTTTAGACTTTTTAATAATCCTGCGGGATCCATTCTAGAATTCTCACTTGGTTGGGAAACTGCAGACTTGGACAAGGTTAGTAGAGCTCAGGGTTCTAGAACTCCTGTCTCTTGCTGCACTGTTGTTGGGCATTTAAAACCAAATGTATTTTTCTCTTTTGTCCTTATAAAACCCGGCGTGCAGTTAACGTGATGTGAAGCCTTATGGCTCAGTCATCCGACCAGAGCACTGCTTGGAGTTCTGATAACTGCCACGTCAGCAAGGAAACTGTGGTTTGCTGCTGCATGTGGCGTTTTGGAATGGCCTGTATTTAGCGTGCTAGTACCCTGACTTGAAGTCTGACGTGTGATTACGCTGAGCCAAAGTTTGTTCTCATTTTAGAAGCAGAAATTTCATCTGGACTAGTAATAGGAAGGTGATGTTTTTCAAGTGTTCTGAACTAGAAAGCTTGAGACGGTAACTGTTACTGGTTATCTCTCTTCTGAAGATCCTCAGATACTGTAGTGGATTGCATAACTAATAACCTGTTATTTTACCAGGCTTAGCTATAATTAATTTCGCAGGCTTTTGTTATGGGGTTGTAATTTTTTGTTTCTTTTTGTACTTTCCCCACTTTATTTTAATTCAGGGTTATACTGGAGAATATGGCATATGGATCTTATTCAGTCTGCTGTTTTGTATAGTGTGATGACCCTAGTAAGCACATATTTGGTAGCTTTTGCATACAAGAATGTGAAATTTGTTCTCAAGCACAAGTAAGTATGTTTTTCAAGTGAAAGTACTTACTACATGTTGTATTTTTACATGCCTTTTTAATGACCATTTGCGTGTTAGTTAAGCATTAATTTGAGATATATATGTATTAATATATATATTGGGGGAAAGGAACATTGATACAAGGAAGAATTATTAACTAACTTAAGTAGAGACAATGATCAGTCTGACACGACTACCGAAGTGGATTTTGAGGGTGGAATTAGAACACTTAAGCACTGGCCTTAATAAGAGATTCGTCAGAGTAACAAACCCACCAAGCAAATTAACATTTCAGAAGCTAAATGGATTATTTCTGGAGAGAATTGTTCTGGGCTCTTCACATACTATTTTTGGAAGTTAAAGAAATTATCTTTTTGTTATTGTTTTTTGAGACAAGGTCTAGCTCTGTTGCCCAGGCTGCAGTGCAGTGGCATGATCATGGCTGACTGCAGCTTCACCCTCTCCAGGCTCAAGTGATCCTTCCACCTCAGCCTCCCAAGTAGCTGGGACTACAGGTGCAGGCCACCATGCCCAGCTTATTTTTTTTGTATTTTTTGTAGAGACAGGGTTTCTCCATGTTGTCCACACTGGTCTTTTTTATTTTGTTACTTTATTTATTACACTCTATGTCATTTTCAAGGCTAATTACATTTTTTTCATACAAGTGTAAAGGATTAACATATGTAAAGGATTAACGTATTCCATTTTAAGATCACATGTATTATAAAATATAGCTTTTAGAGACGAAAACTCAAGCCTCACCACAATAAATTTATATATCAATTATAAGCAGTGAAGTACTCTATTTTCAGAGAGGTTAAACTGAAGAAGCATCTAGACTTAGGAAAGATGGGGACATTATCTCTCAGTGTCATGGTCTGCATTGTCTCACTGGAAGTAGGTATAAATTATTGTTTAATTGATGCCCTTTGAAGTTGCTTTCATGCACACTGTAATATTTGAGTACAGATAGCAGGATTTTTTCCATCCTTCCTTGGTGAGGCTATCTAGGTGCGATATTGCTTTGAAAGTAATTTCTTAAAGGCAATTGGAATTTCACTGATACTTGAAATGCGAGCATACTTTGTATGTGCATTACCTTTTCATCCATAGTTCTCACTCTAGTTTGGACACTGTTTTTACTTGTATTTCTGTAACAGTCTTCATCTGGTCTCTTAAAACAAGTTTAGGGCCCACCCTGCCATGCACTATATAAAGCACATTACCCTTCATAATCCTTACAGCATCCAATTTTCCTTGTTTTATTGAATGAAGAGTATGTATTTCTCCTTACGTGACCTCATTTTTATCATGTCATTCTCATAACAACTCGTCATGGCCTTTTTTTTGAGACAGTCTCACTCTTGCCCAGGCTAGGGTGCAGTGGCCCAGTCTTGGCTTACTGCAACCTCTGCCTCCTGAGCCCAAACGATCTTCCCACATCAGCCTCCCAAGTAGCTGGACTACAGGCATGCACTACCATGCCAGGCTAATTTTTGTATATTTTATAAAGATGGGGTTTTGCTATCTTGCCCAGGCTGGTCTTGAACTCCTGGGCTCAAGTGATCTGTCTGCCTCCATCTCCCAAAGTGCTGGGATGAAAGGCATGAGCTACCATGCCCAGCCATGCCTCTTTTTTTTTTTTTTTTAAATGTATTAAAGCCAAATTCTTCTAGACTCTTGGAATGCAGATCATCTGCATCCTTCCTATGAGTCTAGCTGAATCTTTCAGAATTAGGCTTTAACCCTTCTGACCCAGCCTTCACGTCATCCTTTGAATGTGTCTTGTACCTTCCCTATTTAGGTTTAACTTGCTTCCTTTCCATTTTTAACCTGTGTTTTATTTCAAGACTAGGAATCTTTTCCAGAGAAATCCTTCCTGACTTTGATCATTCCATTGCTATGTTGTCCCTGTGTTAGACTTTTTTGGGGAATGAGGAATAGAAACATGTTGAGATGATCTCAGTTAACAGGGATTTATTTTAAGAAATGGCCCAAAATGGCTTCAGTGGCTGAAGTGGCCTTAGCAGTTTTCTCTCTACTGTTCTGCACACAAAGGAGCTCAGATTCCGTGGCTGCAGTTCTGATGGGCCAGCAGAGAAACTGGGTTATCTTTGTTATCTTTCTGCTTGGCAGCCCCTCTACCAGCTGCCATTCCAGGATTCAGCTCATCTGGGCCTCCACTGTATGGGACTGTTTCTTGTGAGACATGATCATCTGTTCACCAGGAAGCCCTTAGAAGTGGGCATCTTCTATGAACCATCCTTTGTAATACTCTTGGAACACAGTCTCTTTGAGACTTGTCATTTTTTACTTATTCTTCGTATCATTTTCTTCATTTCTTTAGAATGAAAGTCATATTCTTTTTACCTTCTCATTTCTACTTTAGGCTTCTTGAAGATACTTGCCACATTTTATTTTATACCCCTTAAAACCGTTAATGGTACATTTAGTTCAGTAAAATTTCAATGACTTACTGCCTTAATAGAGTAGAGGCTTTTTAGTCATAGTTTTGGCTGTATATTAAATATGCTACTGACTTTGAAACTCTTACAGATTTGCAAGATGGTTAAGATTCAAAAATCCAGCAAGATGATGAGTGTGGGTAGATGTTGGCAGCAGAGGGAAGATGGCTTCGGAGTTGACAGTCTGGATTCCAGTACCAGCTCTGCCACTCTTAATTGTATGGCTTTGGGCATAATTTTACCTGTGTAGACTTCAAATTTCTCAGCTATAAGTTGGGGATGCTAGTGGAACCTCAGAGGGTGGTAAGGATTCAGTATGATCATACATGTGACATGTTAAGCATAGTGTCTGACACATGATAAATGTTTATTTGCAGGGTTGAAGAAGTTGGGGTTAAGAGAGCCCTTAGGAGGTATTTTTTTTTTTTTCTTTAAGGTAACATAATTTAAACAATGTTTGCAAAGATGTTTTTATTTTAACAAATGAGATAGTGTCGGCTGGGCAAGGCGGCTCACGCCTATAATCCCAGCACTTTGGGAGGCTAAGGTGGGCAGATCACGAAGTCAGGAGTTCAAGACCGGCCTGGCCAACATGGCGAAACCTCCGTCTCTACTAAAAACACAGAAATTAGCCAGGTGTGGTGGTGGGCATCTGTAATCCCAGCTACTCTGGAGGCTGAGGCAGGAGAATCACTTGAACCCAGGAGGCAAGGTTGCAGTGAGCCAAGATCGTGCCATTGCATTCCAGCCTGGGTGACAAGAGCAAGACTCCATTTCAAAAAACAAAAAGAAAGAAAGAAAGAAAATAAATTAGATAGTGTCTTTTATTTTTATTTTATTTTTAATTCTGGAAGTATTCTGACATACCGATGTGAAAGAGTAAAGGAAGAAAAATGCAATCCATTTTATGGATTATCTCAGTTGACTAAATGCTAGGTCACTAGCATGACCTCTTTTATTTTAGAGCATTCAGCACTGAGTAAGGTTTATTTTCTGAGAGCCCTAAGACAGAGGGGAGAGCTTCCTCCTCTTGAGTTGCATTAAACCTGCATTGTGGTTATTATGCCCCTGGTAGGTAAGGATAAAATTCTAGACCTAGATGAGAAATTGTTTAGTTATCTGGTTTAATGTCTTCATGAGGATTTGTCATGTGGACAGTTGGCTTACTATTTGTCCTAAAGATGCATAGTGACAACCAACTCTTTTGAAACTGCAGTAGTTTATTCCTGTGTCCTAACACCATGATATTTGGGGTGTACGTTTGTATTTTTTATATTGAGCTAAGAAAGGTTTCTGCCATAAACTGTGTCCATTTCTTTTCAGTTGGTCTTTTGTAGAAAAAAAAAAAAAAGTGGTCCGATGTTAAGTTCAAGAAACACATTTATTTATTTTTAATTTTTCTTATTTTTCCTGTTCTCACAATCTGTTCTCATGAAGAAACATATTTGTGCCTGGTCTGCTAAAGAGGTTCAGAGAGAAGAATCTTTGCCTTTGGAGCTGAGTGTCTCAGAAATGCAAGATGCATATGAAAGGATAGTTTTTGCATAGTAAAATGAACCAAATGAAGTTGGATCTTTGGAGTAAAAAGTTCATTTTAATGCCCTAAAATGTCTCACAAAAAGAAAGCTGTCTGCCCCCTTAGCAGCCTTTTTCTTTAGGTTTCAGAATCGATTTCCTCTTACCTGTTTTTTTTTCTTTTATCTTCCAGAACGTTTTTCCCTCTTTACAGTTACCAACTTGTGTGGGGTAACAAAGTTTAAAAAGTAACTTCGTAAACCTTTTAAAAAATACATTAGTTGAAGCTGATTAAATGTTTTCCTTTTACTAATAACAATGTCAATTCTAAGTCAGTTCTTGAGTGAGAGAGCTAAAGATGGAGACAAAGGTAAAATCAGCTGTAATTTATGCTTAACTTATATCTTAGACATCCTTGTAGTTGAAGAAAGATTGAAAACTTGCCTTTAATGACCTGGGGCTTTCTGTCTGTCATACCCAGCTTAAATTGTCATTTGGAATAAAGTTAAAATCATTACTTTAAGATATTACAGCTAGTATTTCCTCTTTGTTTAAGCCTAGTTTTCACTCCTGTTATTTACTTGGAATTGAAATAATACATCATTTGCTAATGCCTTATGAAATTTATTTATTAGTTAAAATGTTTCTTTACTGAATTGTGCTAATAGCATTTGACTGTAATATCCACATTAAATCCTAAACTTTGGAAAATTCTTCTTTTTAAGCAGAAATCAAAACACATCATTAATAAACCACATCTTGGATGTTTCTTGAACTTCTTTTTTGGCTAGTGCTGTATAATAAACTTGGAACTTTCTGTTTAGCTTCTTTTCTTGAAATGTGAGATATTATTCAGTTGCCAATACATATGAGTACAGAGTGTTTCTGAGAGAGGGTGATGTTCACCTCTGTAACATATGGGAACTTTTTCTTCTTTTCTTGTCCTTCCAGAGTAGCACAGAAGAGGGAGGATGCTGTTTCCAAAGAAGTGACTCGAAAACTTTCTGAAGCTGATAATAGAAAGATGTCTCGGAAGGAGAAAGATGAAAGGTTTGACTCCTATTTAAAGTGTGGTCATCATAAAAGGGGGTACTTTGAAGAAAATTTTTTTATTTTTGCTTAAAGAATGTGGATTTTGGAATTGTTTGCTGTAAATTTTGGAATTGTAGAAGTAGTAGTAATGGAAATAGTAATAGCTGACTTTTAGAGTTTTTATTACAACCAGATACCTTTCTCAATACAATACAATATTTGATTTATTCCTCTAAAGAGCCCTGCACAGTAGGTACTATTTTTATTTCCTTTTTATACCTGAATGGTACAGAAAGCTTGGGTAAGTTGCCCAAGGTCCTGGATTAGTACATGGTAGATCCATGATAAGAACACAGGCAGTCTGACTTGAGAGCTTGTACTTGTAAATGTTCTGCTGAAATTGAGGAGGCAACAGAGCTTTCTATAGAGCGGGCTTTGCCTGTTAATAGGTGTGCAACCTTGGACATATCTCCTAACCCCTCTGGGTCTGAAAGGTTTATGTGTTAGCATGTCTATGTGGTGGTGTTTCTATTCCGGAGCTTCCGGAGAAATATCTAGTAATTAGTTATCTGCATTAATTGGGAAAAAGAAAATAACTGGGTTTGTCTCCTGTTGCCCAGTTCTGTGCCGCATTTGTTAGCCCCTACTCCCAATTTTTTCTGCCAGCTGCTCTTAGAAGGCTTACTGGACAGTCTTACCATTTGAGTAGAGGAAGTCCCTAAGTAAACTTGGGATAAAGTGTTGCCACATAGCTTAATAGTCATGAGTCTACTTGTTTTCGTAAATCTTTAGTTTTAGTATCAAGAAGGTGCTTTGTTGGAACATAATTTTTACCCCACTTTGCTCCAGAAAGACTTTGTGTGAACTTGGAGTGTTAAAGCGTGAATATTTTCTGTATTCAACAGGGTTTTCTTAAAGTGCATATAAAACAAGTAACACAATTTTAAAAGACCAGAAACCACTTAAAAGGGAGAAAAAGGTGGATGAACAAGGACCTTAGAGTAGTTACAGCATTTGAGCACTGAACTTAGTTGCGGGTTTCCAAGTGTTAGGGGAAGCATCTGAGGTCACATAGCTTTCATTGTCTGACGAGAAGCAGCATGCAAGTCCTTCCGAAAAGAAACTTTCCTGGCACTGAATCTTGGAAAGACTTTATCAAGTGGATCCTTATTTAAGGGACACTGAGTAACTTAATGAACAATGTCTTCTATAGTGGTTTAGGAAAGGTACCAAAACATATTAAAATGATTATCTCCTATGGCTCCTTTATAAAACTGAAGGCACAGTATTATGACAATGAAGGCCTTTTTGCATGGAGCAGCTTTAATCAGGTTGGGCTGCATAGCTTTCCAATTGCATATTTTTTTGCATATGGTTCAAGGTTAGAGAATCTAGATCACTTTTTTAGGAAAAACTTGTTGAATTTTTCATAAAAATGGTATTTCTTAAACTAGAGTGTGCATAGTTACCTAAATTTCTAAATGTTTGTTACAGTTTTTAAAGGTTTTTGGTGACTAATTATGTCAGGGATAGTAAATGGGTTTCCTCTGCCCACTGCAGTCTTGGACAGATTTGGTCTGGCACTTGTTCTTGATCTTGGGTTATGGCTCAGAATCTTTCTCAGTTTAGCATTCAGGTAGTAGTGAATCAGTTGAAATTGGGAATGAAACCTTTGCCATTTGCCGGATTAGGTATTTCATAGTGGGATGAGGTGGAGGTTTCATGGATGTATAGAAAATACAGAGTGTCAGAACATTATACAATTTATTTCTTTTCATTGGTAGAAATCTAGTTTTTTCTCTCTGAAAGAATTCCAGGAGATTTGATATAAGGAGAAGGCTTATTAGTGTTTCTTTGCTTAGATGTGTATCTCTCAAAGCTCTGTATACTCCATGCCACTTTAAAAGTACTTTAAAATATCCGTTTATCCAGGGATGGAAATAAGCAGAGGAGAATGTGAGATTCATTAACATTCCTTCCAAAGTGCGAATGTGGTTTCTTCTTGATTTACAAGTGATCTGTCATTTAACATTATTTGATTGTAACAGTTGCTTGGGCTCAACTTTTCTCTTGTAGGAAGCTCATCCTGAAAACATCCTTGGGATATTGGGAAGTGCTCTCCCAAACCAGGTTTCCTACTAGGAAGAAAATGTCTTCTAACAGGCAGAACCATTGGCATTAAGGGCATTTGGGGGTTCTAAATTTAAAACAAAAACAACAACAACAACAAACCAGGATATGGGTGGACTTGGAAAAAGTTCTAAAGGCTATCAGGCCGTCCTGACTTTATACACTGATGTCACTAACATGTGGTCATATTGGGAGCTGGGGTAATCTAAAGGATTGGGCCACTTCATTCATTAAACCTTTTTTTTTTTTTTTTTTTTTTGAGGTGGAGTCTTGCTTTGTTTCCCAGGCTGGAGTGCAGTGGCATGATCTGGGCTTACTGCAACCTCTGCCTCCTGGGTTCAAGTGATTCTCCTGCTTCAGCCTCCTGAGTAGCTGGGACTACAGACACATGCCATCATACCCAGCTAATTTTTGTATTTTTAGTAGAGACAAGGTTTCACCCTGTTGGCCAGGATGGTCTCCATCTCTTGACCTCGTGATCTGCCCGCCCCGGCCTCCCAAAGTGCTGGGATTACAGGCATGAGCCACCACAGCTGGCCTAATTAAAACATTTTTGGAAATGGTTCTTGTATTAGTCTGTTTTCACAGTGCTATAAAGATACTACTGAAGACTGGGTAATTTATAAAGAAAAGAGGTTTAATTGACTTACAGTTCTTTATGGCTGGGGAGGCCTCAAGAAACTTACAATCATGGTAGAAGGTGAAGGAAAAGCAAGTGCCTTCTACACAAGATGCCAGGAGAGCAAGTGAGCCCGAGGGAACCATTTTTAAACCATCAGATCTCGTGAGAACTCCCTCACTGTCACAAGAATGGCATGAGGGAAACTGCACCCATGATCCAGTCACCTCCCACCAGGTCCCTCCCTGAACATGTGGAGATTACAATTCAAGATGAGGTTTGGGTGGGGACACAGAGCCAAACCATATCACTTCTTATTTAGGGCTTGACAGAAAAGAAGTTAGGGAGAAGTACTGTGATGCAAGTGAGAAAAATTTATTGTCTAGAGTAAAGGCAGGCTAATAACCTACTTAAGCAACCTGGGTCTCATGCCAGAGTCTTAAAAATGGAGGCATTTGTCCTGAGTGTTCATTCTAGTGTTAAACCATGTTGAGACTATGCATCTAACTCAACTGGTCTCATTCATCAGTGTTAGAGTGATATGTTTCCTAGAACTCAAACTCATGTTTTAAAAAAATTTACATTGAAACTTCTCTGAAATTAGAAGGTGTTTTATAGGTGATGGCTGCACTTAATGTAATGTCCTTCCCTTCCTCCAAACTTACAGTAAATGAAAGAGTTATTAAGTTGATGGTGTCTGTGGAATCAAGGAAATATGACATGTGTTAGAGACTACAGATTTCTTATGCTGAGCATAAGGTGTTAATTAGCCTTCATTTAGCTCCTTTACAGCCAAACCTGTTGTCTTTGGATTAGTACACTTGGTGAATAAAATGTGTCAATTACCAATGAATTTACTTAAAGTGCTGTCCTTAGGATTGTGGAGGTGTGTCATCTGGCTTCAGAGTAGTTTTATCTCTTGGGGAGACAAAGTGTCTATAATAGTGGCCTTCAACCTTTTTGATAATGACCTCTACAGTAAAAAATATATATTTTACCTTTTGACCAAATAAACTCACACATGGGCACATGCATGTATTTCACAAAACAGTAATTACCCTACTGTGTGTGATGGGCTGCTGATGTTTTTCTGTTCTTTCCTATTTCATTTTTTTAAAATGCTGGTCTCAACCCACTCAATTAATTTCTTTGGGCATTTGATCCACTCAACTGAGTTCACATCCCACTAATGGGTCACAACCTACTCTTTTAAAAACTGCTTTACAAAGTTAATTAACCAAGAGGAATAAAGGCTCCCTTATTCACAGGCATCCTATAACTTTCTTTTGCCTGTGTGAAGGGGTAAAAGATTGATAAAATACCAGTAAATCAAGAAGATATACTATCAGAACTAGAAATACAGAGTAAAAAGTAAAAGGATTTTTCAGGTATTAAAAAAATCCTCCTAATGACTAAGTGCTTTCTTTGTTTAAATTAATAAAAATAGCTAAGAATAGCCTGCTTTTGTGAGGCCACAGCTAGTTTTTGGTCATTGTGATTATCTTCTGAAGGTGTGACATTCAAGTCTGAAATCCATAGGCTATAGAAAGCCTCAAGCCTAGAGTAGAGCTAAGGAAGCTCCACAGGCTGCTAATCATGGAGTCTGAGTTTTAGGTGAGGGCCAAGAGAAAGACACTTGATTTAGCTGCTGATGAAACTGTGCCAGTTGCCATTAATGAGTCCCTTCCTCCATAACCCTGGTTGCCTGAGAAAAAAAGGTAACATAACCAGCACGATGTTTTCTTTGCTATCATAGAGTGAAATTTTTTTATTTTTAGTTGAAGAAAGGGGACAATTCTGACTAAACTTAATATTACAAACACATTCTTACCCTAGAACACAAAAGAAAAAAACTTGTTTTAAAATGAACTAGAGCCATACAGTACTAAAGCTCTTGTATCATATTGATAAACTTGTTTGTCTTGTTTCTGTGTCTCTTAGAATCCTGTGGAAGAAGAATGAAGTTGCTGATTATGAAGCTACAACATTTTCCATCTTCTATAACAACACTCTGTTCCTGGTCTTGGTCATTGTTGCTTCCTTCTTCATATTGAAGAACTTCAACCCCACAGTGTATCCTTTTAAAGGTTGATTATCTTTTTTAGAGGTCTAGAAACAGTAGTTCGTTTTGGTTTTGACTTGTCTGGATATTTTGGTGGAAAGAAAAACTGCCCTGGGAGTCAGTCCATTAAATAGTGCTGACTTTAGGTAACTTTCTCGACATTTAAAATAACAGCTTTTGGGTTAAGATTCTTTTAGGTTTATGAATTATGACTTTATGATAAAGTATTACAAAGCAGTCTTATGGGATTGTGTGTCCTTGCTTACTTAAAAAAAGCTCCTAAGAGCCAAAGCAAACTTGTCATTTTTGATAGCTTCTGAAATAATAAGCCCGTGTCTGCTGTTATTTTTGGGCTCTGGGGGTTGGGTGGATGGCCAATGCAGTTAAATAGGTTCATTCCAGTGTATCCTAATAGTGTTTCAAGCTGCTCTTAAATTGAGCTTTTGGGCAAGAATCAGTCTTCTTTTATTAATTTATTAAAGGTGTTATCCAGGAATGTGCAGCCAACATTTTAACAATTGGTGATTATGATGTAATAAAATATCAGATACCCTCCAGTGTGCACCTTCTGGGAATGCTGGAGTGGTTTGCCGAAAATTGTACAGTTCTGAGACTGGGAGTAGCTTCGAACTTTTAGAACCTCCTTGCCGTTGCAAGCCAACTGTAGCAAAACACTGATTCACAGGAAAGACTTATTTTTCCATTGCTCTTCAGGGAAAAAACAAATCTTTCTTTTCTCCTCATATTCTTTGATCAGCTCTTTTCATGAAGGTTAAATGGAATTCAGATGTATTCTTTGTGATCATGTGTTCTAGGTTTCTGTCTTTAAGTGTTTTTCTTTTTTTTAATTGGAACACATTTCCTGTGAATGTTTTCCATTTTTTATGGTCTTCTGTCTTGCAAATTGTGTTTGCAGACAATGGGCTGCACATCAGCATGATTATACCAAGTGTTAGGAAGGAAGCAGTACATTCCAAAGAGATGGGCTCTTTTTATTTTGTCGAAAAACTAATTTGGTGTTATTAACTTTTCCATAACATTAAATTCTTACAGGAACTACATTTTGTCCATAAGTGCTTCATCAGGACTCATCGCCCTCCTGTCTACTGGCTCCAAGTAGACCATGTCTGCTTGCCCCCTGGCTTTGTGTCTATGGGTGGCCTGTGGTATATGGAAAAGTAGCAGGGTGGTCAGGGTGGGAGACACACAAGATGTTTTTACAGTCTAGAGCCTTTAAAAAACCCAACAGAATGTAATTCAGTATTTGTTTATTGGCTGTTTTTGACAGATTGTTGAAATTAAATGAATTGAAAGGGAAACTCAGAGTACCAGGATGTTTATTAAAAGGAATAAAATGTATTGCAATGTGCTGTAATCACAAGAGGAGAAAATAACTTGTTTCCTTGATCTGTCAGAGGTCACAGTAACCTGGCTAAGCTGTTATTATTTATTATATAATAGTAGCAGGAAGTTAATAACTGGTTCTCTGTGTTCCAAGCACAATATTGCAACTTTTTTTTGAACCATAAATATCAGAATGAATCCTCTTCCCAGGGAATGGAACAGAAGCTTAATGTTTACAAGTGTTTGAATTTGTGATTTGAAATAACAAAATTAAAAAACATGATTTATCCAACTTGAGGAAGAGAAACTTTTGGAAAAGTTCTGTGTGTGTGTGTGTGTGTGTGTGTGTGTGTGTGTTTTAAAGAAGAAGGGCAGCCAAGTTAGTAACCTAAAAATAGTGCCCAGGCATATGAGAGTTGTCCTACAGGGTTAAAGAACACACTGTTCTGCTGTATGGTTTTGGCCCTGAGTGGCAAGAGAGGTCAACTTGACCCTGCCATGTGGGTTTGACCTATTAAGACACAGGAGTCATTGTTTTCTTTGACCAGGGTCTCACACCCTGGAGGAATGTTAAGTAAGAGAGAGAACCTTTTTCCTGAATATTGACATGTAAAAGACCAAAGTAATTTTTCTGAACTTCTGCAGTTCTAAGAACTCTCCAAGGAATTTACAGTGATTTTAGTGCTTGTCAGCATTTTTCCATGAGGACTTTCATACATTTGACTCTTTAGTTTACAGGTTTCCATTGATTGTGAACAAAGTATTTATCTCTTCAGCCTTTGGGGGTCCGGCTAAGGGCAATCTCTTGCATTTTTTTTACCTGTGTTTGTACAGATATCATTCTTGTGTGTGCCATGGCTTGAAAAAGTGAGAAGCTCTTTAACAAAATCACCTAAAAAGATGTGAAATCACAGGTGATAGCAGTTCAGTAATTTCCCACAAGCAGCATCTCAAAGAAAATATAGTCCTAATCCTTAGTATTCTATTCTAAATTTAACATGAATTTCATAAATGTTATTAGTTTTCTTTATAATTTTATAAGTTATTCATCAGGAGTTTAACTTCCACTTCCGTGCTATGTATTGGGCTGCATCCAAGAACTTGGAAGGAAAACAGGGGCAGGAATACATTTGCTTAGTGACCCAGATCATCATTTTCTGCAGGTGAGAATTCTATTTCATCATTGCTTCTAGAAGTTGGCAATACTTTACTTTTCTTTGGTGCATTGTTATGTAGGTGCCATCACTGGGTAATGTGAAGTGACTACAGAAGTCAGATTTACTGTAAGGTATGCTTAGGGTGACACTAAGAGGTTTATTATTTTTTAAAGAAATTTTTCTTGAACCCCTGGCCAACATGGTGAAACCCTGTCTCTACTAAAAATCCAAAAATTAGCCGGGCATGGTGGTGGGCGCCTGTAATCTCACTATTCGGGAGGCTGAGGCAGGAGAACTACTTGAACCTGGGAGGCAGAGGTTGCAGTGAGTAGAGATTGCGCCACTGCACTCCAGCCTGGGTGACAAGGGCGAGACTCCATCTCAAAAACAAACAAACAAACAAAAAAAAACTTTTCTTAAAAAAAAAACAAAGCCAGACCATAGTTCGAGTGGTGGCATGGAATCTGTGTATCAAATAAATGCATTTGCTTATTTGACATCAGTGTGTTTGTTAGCAGAGTTGGGCCAGTATCTTAAAATTGCTGGTGAAAACTTGCCTCTAGATGGCAGTGCCTGTATAGATGGGGAAAAAATCACCAACATTCTTGGTATAATACAGTGTAGCTTAGATGAGGTGGTGAAATGGGGTTTCAGCCTAATATTCCTAATATAGTTTCTCTTGCATTAATAAACTGAACATTTGTAGGAAAAGGAGTGAGCAAAATTTGTTTCCTGTCCTGAATTTTTCTTACAGCACGCTGTTTTTAAATCTGATATTTTCCAACTTTCTAAATTATTAGATGAATTTCTGGGCATAAGGGTTATAAGGCCTATACTTGCAGTTCAGTAGTTTTTGTTAAGGATTTACTGTATGAGTACTTTACTGTCAGGAATTACAGAACCTTTTCCCCACTACTCTCATCATTTAAAAAGTCTGTGTGGCACACAGAGAGAGGTGACCTACTCAATCTGATTTAGATAGTAAAACCATGCTATAGAATTTTTGTCTTAAAAAGACCACATAACCAACACTCGTGAAATAAAAGATTCATCTGTAATTGGGATTCAAAGTGATTAAATTCCTTTGTTCATACTCATAAGTAGCACTTTAAAGTGTTAAAACATTTTCATTTACCTATTTTTAGTTCTTTCATTTACAACTTAATAAAAATCTTGGATTGAAATTCTTAACCAATAAAAGTTTACTGGTTGTCCTATTTGGCATATTATTGAAACTTGGAAAGGATAATTCGAAACAAGGTTTGAAGTTAGCTGAAATACGGAAGTTGAATTTATACTGAATTCTTGTAAAAAGTCTTGTTTAATAAGTATGATTAAATTTTGCTTTTTAAAATTTGTATTTTATAAGAATTTTGTGATGAAGTACATAATCTTTATTACGTTATTTCACATTAACCATCATCTTGTTTTCAAATTGTTTTTTTCAAATTGTTTTTTTTTTAATTTAAGTTCGGGGATACATGTGCTGATGGTGCAGGTTTGTTACATAAGTATATGTGTAACCATCATTTTAATAGCTCACACATGTAAATGCACATCTTTGTAGTTACTGATCAAATATCTTTGAGGCAATGAAAAGCATAGAGCAGTTACAGTAAAGGGGAGACACCAGGCTTCTGCCAGTATGTACCTGTTGCACCTTTCTGCCTCCCCCTTTGTTTTCAGTGTGCATGCCAGTCACTGTTGCTTCTGGAGACAGGAAGGAAGGATACATATATGTGTACAGTTATGGAGAAAACCAATTTGTAGATGTATCTATCTGTTAGAGCTCTAAGGGATTCTCTCTCACTTCCTTGGACTCCCAAGCAGAGGAATTAATGGAAGATTAGGAGGGTGTTTTGGGGGTTGGTTTAGATTTTCAGGGAGATAGAGATTAAATCTTGTTGGCCTTCATTAATTTTCAAAACATTTCTTCACTGACTTTTCCCTGTTGTTTGATTTCTAAGTTTGGATTAATAAAAGTTTTTTAACTTAAACATTCTCACAATTTCTGCATAAAACTTTAAAGCTTAAAAGGAGAAAACAATCTAAAGGAGCACTGAACCAGAACACAAAATACTCGGGTTCTAGGCCTGGTTCTGCACTACCAGTGTGAGTTTGGGCAAGTTTTTTCATCTATCCAGTCCTGCTTTGCTCATTTGTCAAAGAGGGGTGGCTTTACAAATGGCTAAGGTTCTTTTAAGCTCTGACATTTGCCTCATGACTTTAGCACTCTCTTCGTGAAGTGACAGTTCTTAAAGTGGAAAGCCACACACAGAGTTTCTAGGTTGCCTGAGATTTCCATATAGGGATGGCTGCTACCCAGGTTACCTTTTGGAGATATATTCTCTGCCAGGGAATTCTTTTCAGAGGAGAAAAGAAAATTAGAGTGAATGGAAATTTTTTTTAAGGATATAACTGTAAAATACATTATCTAGTATATTTACCATGACAGATTCGCATATAAAAACTGGCTGTTCCTGCAGCTAAGCCATAATGTTTATATTTGGTTTTGATTTGCAAGTTTTAAAAAGTGAATTTGTGAAGCCTTAACCTTAGTGCAGGGTGTTCTAAAACCCATTGAGAGATAGTGTCAGTAATCTCCATTGATAGAAAATGTTTGGATTGCAATTTAAATCTCAGACTTTTGATCACTACTATTTCTGTTGAGTATTCATTACAGCTTAGCTGCCAATATAATTTTTATTTAGATGATTATTGCCTATTTTATGGCCACATATATTTTACATGTGTATGTTTTACATGTATGGAAAATATACATATGCCTTACGAAAGATCAGATAAAATCTATTGTGAGATTGAATGCACAAAATGCTTTTATTACTCTAAGCAAATAAATCACATTTCCCATTAGACAGCACCTCAGCTCCTTTACACATAGAGTAGTTCACTGGATTGAATACACAATGAACAACTGAAAAAATTCATCAATTTCCATCATTATTCTGATACTCGGGCAGAAAATTCAAACTCTCTATTAGAATACAGGTACTAGTAATCAAAAAGAAAATTTTTTAATATCTCTCACTAACATTTTCAGATTTAGAACTTAACCATGAAATCACATATAGAAATAATGACAGAAAATAGCATTTTTAAATGATGTTATATTTCTTATGTAAACCTCAAAGTGACTTCTGTATGGGAAAGTTGCTGATCAGAAAATTAAATTAGAATTTTGTACATCCTCAGATATCCAAATAGAGTTAAAGGGCCACCCCCACACCACTCCCTTAAAAAAAAAAAAAACCATGTTTTTCTCTCTTTTTACAGATACCAACATAGTATATTCTCACAGTTTTTCCTCAAGTGGGATATTAATGAGGGTAAGTAGCCAATAGTGGCAAGGCTAGGTATACCTCAGATTTTGAGTGTAACAAGGGTAAGCCCCATTAATCCATGCAGAGAACTTTCATGCATATAGTTTAGTGCTTATAATATTATTATAGAAGTTCTTTAATGTTTTTCATTTCACTAGGCAAGTTAATTTACCCAGCATATTCTGAATAGTGATGGCATTTTTCACATGATTGACTTTCATGTTAACATCACCTCAAAAGTACCAAACATTATATTGTAAAATCCCAGTGCTAATTAAACAGTGAACATTTGCCTTTCTGGGTATTTTACAGGTTCTTCAAAACTGAGCATGTGCATGTTTACTTTTAAAGCTCAGATATTTAAACTTGCAGAAGTTGTGCCTACAAGCAGTTGAAAATATAAAGCAGGTTTTAATAAAACATAAAAAGTGAACACCTAATTGCAGATACATTGCAATTTCTTCAAAGCTAAGTTTCCACAGCAGTGTTACCTTCTCTTTTATAAATCAGCTGTAATGTCACTAAAGATTGGGATGTTCATCCTTTTACTGTCTCTACTTGTAAGTGGACATAACATTAAAATCCTAATAGACATTCTGGATAAGTTGTACAAGGCCATTCTTGGGGCCAAGCAACAGTAAATATTTGAAAGGTAATAAAGCAAATACCTAGAAATTTTAGTTTTGTTGTACGACAAATGGAACAAAACTTGTTAATATGAATGTGAAAATAGGAATAAAATAAAATTGTTTCTGCTTATTCTTCCAAGCAAAGATTTGAGAGAAGATAGTCTACTCTGTTTCTTATGCAACTCACATTGCATCTGTTGATTTTGTTCTTTTGAAAAAATATATCTGTACAGCCTTCTTTGAGTTACCAAATGCCTGAAGGTAATATATCACCTCCCAGCCTCATATTCTTTCCATTGCATAAGTGTGAGGTGTATAGAGCAATGCAAGAATAGGTGACTCCAGTCCAAGATAAGAAAATAGAATGGATTTTCCTGGTTGTGAGTTTTCAGATGTGCACAGTGGTAGCAACAGCAGACACCTCAAAGAATCCAGGGAGGGTCACTAGAGGTTGAGCAGCAAGCTGCTAAGTGATTCAAAAGACTGGTTAGTAACACCTTTCTGAACTGGGCACAGGCCGCTATTTTAACCATGCAGCTTCTGTGATTCATGCATTGCCTTATGATCTATAGTCCTTTTTGCTGTAGGGCTTGTTGCGCAATATGTTATCAATCTCGTTTACCACATGTGATGTCATCTTTGGGAGAACCTGAGAGCAGAAGTACAAAGGATATAGTTAGGGTGCTGATCATTCTTTTTTTGTGTGCTCTAGATTAAGCAAAGCAACCTAGACTTGTACATGTTCATAAACCACAGCTGGATTGTAAGTCTCCCCCCCCCCCCCCCCCCACGCCAAACACTATAAGCGCCTTGAAGTCAGGGGCCTTGTTGGTTGACTGCATAAATGAAGGCAAAAGGCAAAAGTGAAGGCTCATAGAAATATAGAGCAGCTCAATCCAATAGAAATATAATGCAAGCCACATTTGTAATTTTAAATTTTCTATTGGATATCTTAAAAAGTAAAAAGAACAGGTGAAGTTAATACATGTTTTTACTCCATTATGTCCAAAACATTATTTCAACATGTAATCAATATAGAACATAAGATACTTGACAGTTGTTTTTGGTACTAAGTCACATCTTGTGAACATGTTACACTTAAAGCACATCTCTGGACTCACCATCTTTCACGCACACAGTAGCCTCCTGTGGCTAGAACTACAGTAGTGCACAGCACAGGTCTAGAGACTAAGGAGAGATTTATTCTGACCAGTGGTCTGAACCCTGGTGAAGGATGGCCAGGGTTTAACAGACATCCCAGGCAGATAGAATAGCATGGAAAAGTGAACTGGAGTGATTATACAGTGATTGATGTGGGTGTGGGGATGGTAAGAACAAGATACGGAAGTTGGGTAAAGAGTGTAGAAAGCCTTGGATACCATTTTATGGAGTTGGGACTTTAGGCAGTGGGGAACCTGTCAGAAGTAATGATCTAGGAGTAACCCAATCAGATACCTGGAGGTAGTTTGAAGGATGACTTGGAGGAGGTTGAAAGGGGACACAGCTGTTAGATATGTATTACAATCCAAGCCGGGCAATAGGGCTTTAACTACAATAGGGGCAGTGGAGCAGAAAAGGAAAGTGGACCTGAGGACATTTTGGGGGATGATGGTGGTTTCAGGACTCAGTAACTAGAAGAATATTGTTGATTATTGAGATTAGAAACCACAGGAGAAGTAGTTTGGGGATAAGAAGTAGGAGGTGTTGACTTTAAGGTGCCTGTCAAATATCCACC